AATTCTATAATCATTTTGTTTAGTTATGTAAATAAATTTAACACGACTTGTACTGTTTATCTGCATGAGTGAAAGGAGAGCTGCGGGTTTTCCCTTTCCTCTATTTGATTTTCAAATATGACCGCTTAACAAAAATGCACGGGCTCACTGGCTTACAACCTTGGCGAATTCATATGCAGGCCTGGTCGCACACCCAGTTTGTTTTAATAAATGACACTTAAATTAATGAAACAATGTAATAGGAGAAACAATACAACTGCGATCTTCTTCAGTGCAGTGGCGAAATGCAAAGTATGCCACTGCACTAAAGAAGATCGCAGTTGCGATCGAAACGTCTGCAATTAAATTGGTTTTTCAAGCTAGAGACGACTCAATTTCTTTGTCATGCAACATCCTAGCTGCAGCTTTAAAATTTTTTCGTGAGGAGAAACAATATATGTCATCCTTCCTCCTTCGTGCATGTTGATTCCACTCGTCTTCAACAACTGACAAAGTTTCAGTTTTCCTTGCTTTTTCGATGTATGGCATTGTAAGATTGAGTATTTCAAGTAAAAGTAAGTATCAATTCAGGTCATTTGCGGTATGTTGCATATATAGCAACTCCATTTTTCGAACACAATTGGATGGCGTGAAGTAATAATCGTACGTAATATTTAAGGTTCTTCTACTTAAACTGTAAACCAATTCCGAGCAAATGTGAGCTCATGCCTATGGATTGCTTAAATCTTTACTGATAAACTCCCTATTGTCCATATTGTTGATGTATGTATTGTAGGTAATTCATGTATTTGTAAATAATTCATAGCCTTAATTTTATTGTATATAATAAAGCTTTTATTTTGTAAATATAGTTTATTTCATGGAAAGTGCGACGTACGGGATTTTATTCACGAGTTGTTTTGCATCACACAACGAACGAGCGAGGAACGAGCGAGTGAGTTTATGATGCAAACAACGAGTGAATAAAATCCCGTACAAGGCACTTTCCATGCTATAAACTGTTTATTATATATATAACGAGACTTTCATTCGGCATACTTTTTAATAAGCTTGTTCAACTATTATGAGAAACAAACTCAATATGAGCTTACGTAGATAAAATTAAAATGCACAGATAAGTTAATTCGGAACTTAATAAACTTGATAAAAAAAAAGCTAAATTAATAGTCGTACTTTCCAATGAAGCTGCAAGAGCGTACAAGTTTTAGCGAAATTTTATAGTAAGTAGAGTAAGAAATAAAAGTTCTTCGTCGAGAAACCTACTTCTCTTGGTTGGTATGCAAGATAACGCGCTGCAATTTCCCTCTTCATTTGAGTTGATTCAGCTTTCTTACAGCTACATCTCTTGTCTTACTGAAGTCCTGTCTTTCTAAATTGCATGGAGATTAGGTTAAGTTTTGCAGAAAACGATCAAAAATCGGTATAAAACGAACTGAACTCAGTGAACACGAACGAGACAAAATTCTGTTTGTTTAAGTTTATAGTTTTGGCTGATGTTTTCCATGCTTTCATGTTCATTCTGGATGGCAAAAAACTTAATTCTCTTGAAA